CAGCTGGGAAGTCCTGTTCTTTGGAAACAGAAGGACCTGGGGCTTCATCTGCGCATCCCTGGGCCTCAGAAGGTCTGGGAAATGTATATGTCAGGATGAACACGGCGATGTCAACAGGGATACTTATCTGAAAGGATAGCCTGCAAGGGCGCCCCAGGGTCCTATGGGGAGCACACAGTGAATAATGCCCCTCTTTGGCAGGTGCCTGGTAAGCACTTCCTGATGCCAGGTCTTGGGGCTCTGAGGCATCAGCCCAGGCAGGTGCCCCATGGGGCTCTTCTGCTCTGTGTCATCAGTGTGGGTCATAAAGTTCAGGAAAGGGTCTCTCCTTGCTCTCCAGGGATCAGTTCTTTCTGGGGTTCTGGTCCCTCAAGGATGTTCCAGAACATTCTTTCCTTTTCTCACCATCCCTTTGTCCCTTCCTCTTCTCCTCCCTTCCTTCTGCCTTTCCTATGCTTCAGATGGAACACGGGGCCTTGTACATGATGAGCCAGTGTTCTACCACAGAGCTACATTCCTGTCTTGGCTTGGTTCCTAGGTCCTGAAACCCCAAGCTGACCCAACTCTGCCATGGAGGGTATGAAGAAGAAGCAGAATCCTAAGGACACCTGCCCTCCCAGGACTGGGGGACTTCCCTACTTACCCAGTTTTTCCTATTCCCCACAAAGGAAAATAGTGGCCCTTGAGATGTGCACAGTTTATTTATTTTACATAGTGAATAGTAACCTGTGTTTTTAAAGATGACTTAATTTCTGCACAGACCCCTGTAATTCATCCCACTTCCGGAGCGTGTGACTGGCCCTTTAGTCCTGACTTGAGGTCGGGGGTGTGTGCAGGGGCAGAGGGGTCGTTAGGAGCCAGGTCATGGCATGGATGGTGGCGTGTGAGTGGGTTGAATGAGATACCTGAGCCGTCAGACACACCCTGGACCATCATCCCCGACTGGTAAACTGCAGGCATCACCCAAATGCTTGAGTGATGCTTGGCTCTCCAGCTCCAAAGTTGGAACGTATAGAAACTTCTAGAAATAGCTGAAGACAGCCCAACATGGAAAGCAAGCCGAAGTTCACGTTGAGAATACAGGGAATGTGGCCATACCACCCTGAACGTGAGCGATCACTTGATCCTGTAATCTAAGCAGGGTCTGGGCCTGGCTCGTGCTTGCATGGGAGAATACAGGGAGAGACTACAAGGCAGGGATTCTTGCTTATAACCTCATTTACTTTTAAATTATTATTATTTGGAGGTGTATTGAAGATATACTGGAGAGGGGGCTGGAGAGATGGCTCAGCTGTTAAAAGCACTGGCTGCCCTTCCAGAGGACCTGGGTTCAATTCCCAGCACCCACATGACAGCTCATAACTGTCTGTAATTCCATTTCCAGGGCATCTGACACCCTCACACAGGCATACATTCAGGCAAAACACCAATGCACATGAAATGAAGATTTTTTTTTAAAAGAAAACATACTGGAGAAGAGACAGGTCTGGTGATGTAAACCTGAAATCCTAGCACTCAGGAGGCTGAGGCAGGAGGATGGAGAGTTTGAGGCTCACCTGTGTCTCAACAGTGAAATGAAGGGCTGAGGAGATGGCTTAGTGCATAAAGTGTTTGTAGCACAAGCGTCACGACCTGAGTTCTAGTCCCTAGAACCCACATGAAGCGGGACATGCCAGCACATGTGTCTGTAAACACACCCCTCCTACAGCAAACTGGGAGACAGAGACAGGAAATGGCTGAAAGAGAGGACCTAGCCTGGTGTCCACAGCAGGAAGAAACCAGGAGACCCTGCCTCAATTAATGTGGGCACAAAAGACAGATGCCCAAGGTTGCCCTCTCGCTTCCACCATATGCTGAAGCACCTAAGCACACATAAGTGGCATTCACACATACAAGTGTGCGTGTGCACTCACACACACACATGATTAAAAAGATAATATATTTAAAAAAAATAAAATAAGTGGTGAGTGGTGGCTCATGCCTTTAATCCTTGCCCTTGGGAGGCAGAGGCAGGTGGATCTCTGTGAGTTTAAGGGCAGCCTGGTCTACAGATCGAGATCCAGGACAGCCGGGGCTACATAGTGAGACTCTGTCTTGGAAAAAAAGAAAAGAAAGAAAGAAAGAAAGAAAGAAAGAAAGAAAGAAAGAAAGAAAGAAAGAAAGAAAGAGAGGGGGCGCTGGAGGTTAAGAGCACTGGTTGTTCTTCCATAAGGGCCTGAGTTCAGTTCCCAGCACCCACATGGCAGCTCACAACTGTCTGTAAGTCCAGTTTCAGGGGATCCGACACCCTCACACAGACATACATGCAGGAAAACACCAATGCACATTAAATAAATAAAATGGTGAAAAAAAAAAGACAATACAAGTTGAGCAAGCCATGGAGAGCAAGTTGGTAAGCAGCATTCTTCCACGGTCTCTACCTCAGCTCCTGCTCTGACTTCCCTCAACGATGAACTATGATGTGGATATTTAAGCCAAATTGGAAAAAAGAAGAAAGAAAGAAAGAAAGAAAGAAAGAAAGAAAGAAAGAAAGAAAGAAAGAAAGAAAGAAAGAAAGAAAGGAAGAAAGAAGAAAAGGTGGACAGTACCTGAGGAGCAACATCTAAAATTGGACCTCTGGTCTCCACTCTGAGCACACGCACACGTGAGCACACGCACCCTCTTGTGTGCTGGCGTGCACACGTGCACTCACACATGCATGCGCGCACACACACAGAGGCACACACACACACAGAGGCACACACACACACACCAATAAATTAATAAAGTGGAATACCTCTGTGTTGAAAAAAAAATTCCCTGGTCTACAGAGTTCCAGAACAGCCAAAGCTTTTACACAGAGAAACCCTGCCTCACAAAAACCAAACCAAAAATAAATAAATAAATTTGTAAAAATCCATAAAAACAAAGACCCATGAAAAAAACTTGTAATTTTAATGTAAGTCAGAAGGGGGGGGTAGAAAAAAATCCCTAGAGCTTATTGCGTCCTGGTTGTTTGTTTTGTTTTGTTTTTCGACTTGACCGAAGCTAAAGTTATGAGAAGAGAAACCGCGGTTGAGAAAACGGCTCCATCAGAGTGCCTGTGGGCACGTCTGAGGGGTATTTTCCTGACTGAGGATTGGCGTGGATGGACCCAGCCCACTGTGGGCAGCGCCACCACTGGGCAGATAGTCCTGGGTTGTCTAAGAAGGCAGGTGAGCAAGCCGTGAGGAGCAGGCCAGGAAGCCTCATTCCTCCATGGCCTCTGCTTCAGTTCCTGCCTTGAAGTTCCTGCCTTGAGCTCCTGCCCCGACTTCCCTCCGCGATGTGGGGCCTGACAGTTGAAAGATGAAATCAACGCTTTGGGTCCTGGTGTTTTCTCACAGCAGTAGAAACCCAATTAAGACAAAGTGAACTGAATCTCCAGGTAGGACCGTGCAGCCTTGGGAAAGCAGAGATCTGCGAACGGAACTGCCCTGTTGTCCAGCCCCTTCCCCTGTCCCCATGGTGTCCCTTTATCCTGCCCCTCTTTGCCCAGCCATGCTGGCCCCTGCCTCTAGTGTACTTGTGGATTCTAATCTCCCTGCCTAACTGCGGTCTAGCTTTGAAAGCCAGTCTATCATTTTCTCAGGTACACTTCTTGAGCCTACACCTTCCTTTCCATCTGCTGCACCCACGATCTAGTTGTGACCTTTGAACTTTCCCCTGGACCATGGCTGTCGCTCCCATGCCAGCAAGCATTCTTTTGTTCCCATTAACCCTGCACACTGCTGCCAAGATCACCTCAGGGCACCTCTTTGGTTCTGTCCCTGCTGGTGAGCAGAGTCTAAACCAACCACTTCACCCTCCTCCAGACACTGCTGTGCCCTGCAATTTACTCTGTTTGTCACTGGCTGGGTGGATTCTTTTGAAGGGGCTGGAGGAGGGTGCTAACAGCAGCTGCAGAAGCGTGTCTCCTGTCTAGATGCAAGGCAGGAGGCTATCTATCGTTCAGAGGGAAGATGGTTCGCTCTGCAAAAGTGCTCCCTTGACTTTGTGCCCATTTTCCCTGTTTGGGGCCTTGGCATATAGCCCAGTTGACAGACTGCTTGCCTAGGGTGCAGAAGCCCTCGATTCCACCCTCAGCACTGCATGAACAAGGCGTGGTAGTGACTAGTTTATGTAAACCACCCAGGAGATGGAGGTTCAAGGCTGTCTTTGGATGCATAGCTAGTCTGAGGCCAACCTGGGCTACCTGTGATCCTGTCTCAGAAATCAATAAAAGGAGTTCAAGAGTCAGAGACAGGAGCTGAGAGTGGGGTAGGGGTGTGGCTTACTGAAAAAAGATACAGGCTTGGGGGCTCAGCAGTTAAGAGCACTGGCTGCTCTTCCAGAGGACCCAGGTTCAATTCCTAGCACCCACATGGCAACTCACAACTGTCTGTAACTCCAAGATCTGACAAAGACATACATACAGGCAAAAAACAACAATGCACATGAAATAAAAATAAGTACAGTTTTTTAAATACTTTAAAAAAATACATGTTCAGTACTAACATAGCTGATAGCCAGGCAATCCATAGTCCCAACCATTTGGAAGGCTGAGACAAAAGGCTCCCTTGAGCCCAGGAGTTTGGAGAGTTGGTTTTGCAGTCAGTTGGCATTCACAGGACGAGGCCACTCACCATTTCCTGACTAGGGAGATGCTGCAATCACCTTCCCTCCAGAATGGTGGAACCACCTACTGGTCAGCAGCACTCATCAGTGCCGTGGAAAGAGTAGGGACTGACCGACCATAAGTCAGCTGCTTCCTCTGGCGGTTGTGGATATGAGCTAACGAGATGGCAGATGACGGGGATATTGAACACTCAGTGAGAGTGAGCATCAGTCTTCTGGATGGGAAGTGGGGAAACTGAGGTCCTCCTACTGTGACTTGGGGGACGGGGGGCCTCTCTCCTTGTCCCTAAGAAGTCAGGTCCCTGGTCTCAGCATCCCACCTGTAACACACACTCTCTCTCTCTCTTGCCTTATTTTTCTTCACGCTTTGAACCAGTATGGCCGAACCTCGACAGGAGTTTGACACAATGGAAGATCATGCTGGGGGCTACACTCTGCTCCAAGACCAAGACGGAGACATGGACCATGGCTTAAAAGGTCAGTGGACAGCCATGCACAGCAGGCCAGCCACAGTGGAACACAGTCTGTGTTGCTTCAGCAAGGGCTGGCAAGAAGGGTTCAAATCCTGGTTTTTAAAGGAGCGATTCATACTATGTCGTATTAGATCATTAGGAGAGGGACCTCTCAGTTTGAGTGGGCTAAGAAAAGTCAAAATGTGAACGTGTTTGAAAATTCACTTCCCCAGACAGTGTGACAAGGATTGAGAGGAGAGGTTGTCCTTCTCAGCTCTAAAGGAGCCTCTTCAAGTCCTTAGCTTCACAAACCGGCCATCCGGACTCTATTGGGCAAGAATAGGTTACTCTGGGATTCTGAGTCTATCCACACTAATGAACTGCACCAAGAGTGGAGCATGATGGCGCTGGTCTGTAATTCCAGTACTCAAAAGGTAAAGGCAGGAGGATTGCTGCAAGTCCAAAGCCAACCTGGTTTCCATAGTGAGTTTCAGTTCACCCAGGACTACATAGAGAGATCCTGTCTCAGACTATCTTAGAGAGATGGTTCAAAGGTTCAGAGCACTTGCTGCTCTTCCAGAGGACCCGAGTTGGATTCCCAGCACCCACATGGCAGCTCACAAAATCTGTTGTCTCCAGCTTTGGAGAACCGACACCCTGTACCTATATGGCATTCACAGATTCACACACATATGCATAAGTAAAAATAATAGAAGTATATTTTTAAAGCACTTCTTAAATTTAGTTTCATTAATTAAAACTGCAGTCTGTAATGTAGTCTTCTGGCCACATGGACTTGGCCTGACCTCTCCTCCTCCAAACTCACTGGTTGTTCATTTTGCTGTGTGCATGTGTTCAGGAGCTGTGGGGGTGCTCAGACACCACACACACACACACACACACACACACACACACACACACACACACACACACATACACGTTCTATGCTAACACTCTCCACACTGCCTTGCAAGACAAAAATCCAGCAAAGTTCATCTATATTAATACACCACACACATTCACATATTCACACACACACAAACACACACACACACACACACACACACACACACACACACACACACACAGTTGCTACCCCTTGGAAGGTGCTGTGAAACAAGTGTGTTGCCCTACCCATAGCTCCCCCCAAAAGCTAAAAAAACCTAAGTGATTTTCACGAAATGAAATCTTGCTACTGGGGTTTAGAATGAGCTGTTGGAAGGTGTGCAGACTGCTCCGACGGGCACAAAGTGTCACAGTGCTAACAACGGTTCAGAGAGTGACAAAAGACTGTTTTGAATAATGGCAAGGGCCTGCACGCTGAATACCGGAACAGAGAGGGTGTCTAAGTGCATGCTAAAAGTTGGAACAGGACTAGATCCCGCCAGAGAGGCTGTGGAGTGGGGGAGGGGGCCGCACACGCTCATGAATTAAAAGGTGCTGATGTGTTACACTTCCCGGCCCTTCGAAGGGGGGCTTCTTCTCCCTCTTCCTTCCCTCTAAGGATAATGTACATGATGAGGATGGGTGTACAAAGTGACTCTGAGGCCAGCCTAGGATCCGTGAGACACTGTGATCAAGAAAATATAAAACGGGCCCTTCTTTGGCTGTGCTCTGAGTGAGGCTGTGAAGCGTTTCATCCCTCACTGTACTTGAACTCCATATGTCTTTCTTTGTGTTCTGCTTTGCACATAGAACCAGCCGCCCCCTCCATCACCCTAGGACCCCAGAATATCACTGTTGCCCCAAGGGACAGCATCTGTCTCCACTGAATGTCTCAGCAGCCCTGCAGCCTAGCAAGTACCATCCATGCTCAGTGCTCCCCACCCACTGGTTCGCCATAGCCCTGGTCAGACTTCATATATCGCCCTGTAGCTCCCTGGGGACCTCACGCCGTCTCACTTAGTCTAGACCTCCTTGACACAAACCTCAGGTTTACCTCCAGCGGTTTTGTGACCTGAACACGCTCCCTCTTTGTCCACTCGTCCATCACCAAGGACACAGAGGGTCCTACTCTACCTTGCCCCAACTGTCCTGGAACTCACTACGTAGCCCTCGTTGGCCTCAAACTCACAGAAATCCCCCTGCCTCTGCCTCCCGAGTGCTGGGATTAGAAGTGTGTGCACCACCACACCCAGCCCAAGGGCCATTTTTTGTTACAGTACTGCCTGGGCAAGCACGGCCCTCAAGCCCCTCACCTGTGTGTGTACAGCCAGCCGGCTGAGACTGGTTCTCGGGCTTCACGTGGTTGAGAAAACCAGCCATCGTGAGTATATGGCTTCCATCTTCAAGCTCTCTCATGTATCAGGAAGATGGGTGCCTAGCTAGGCACAGCTGTGTCCTGAATTCTGTCCGAATTCTGTTTTCAAGGACAGCAGATTGACTGGGCTCCAGGTGGGACCCCTCTTTGCCAGAGAGTGGGTGCTCAGACTGCACCTGATGGGGGTGTTAATCTCTTGTGGAGCATGAGGTGATACTGGACTTCCCCCCATGGCCAGAGTCCATTTGTCCATCTGATACAGAGGACAGCTGGCTCTTGGAGCCTCTGGAGATTCCCAGTCAGCATCTGCACCATAACAAAAAAGAAAAAAGAACCTCCCTGTTGATACACAGGGCTACCCTGAGCCCTTCAACCAAGGCGAAGACAGACCGACAGAATGGCCGTCGCCTATTGTGGGTCTCACACGCCCTTTAAGCATGGCTCCAGTTACAAAAGCCTAGTAGTTAGCAAAAAAAACCCTTCAGCCAATGCAGGCATGGAAAGCAGGGACTTCTCCTGCACGGAGGTGGGTGAGTTTTCTGAGCTGAGCGCTGAGGCGCTGTGACCCAAAGCCTGAGAGGCCACAGGGGAGGGCTCTCTGAGCATGCAGGAGCATGCTTTCTAGATCGGCTGCCAGGTTGTCCTCAGTTGGACCTGGGTGATTAAAGGCTTTGTCTTCTCCCACCCAGGAGCAGACACACATCACCCACATCTTCCTCCAGGGACTGCAGGAGTGGAGTATGGTTGTGTCGGGGGTGGGGAGTGGGGGGAGGAGACTGGTCCCTTCATGGTTTGATCATGAAGCTACAATATCCACACTGAAGGTTCCTCTTGAGGTCTGAGGGCTCACTGTATATGTTCCAGAGTCTCCCCCACAGCCCCCTGCCGATGATGGATCGGAGGAACCAGGGTCGGAGACCTCTGATGCTAAGAGCACCCCAACTGCTGAAGGTGGGGCCTCCCTACTCCCCCCACGCCCTTCAGCCTGTCCTTGCCTCGCTTTGAGCTACCCCTCCAGCTGCACCCTCTGCTTCCTGTCCTGCTGGCTGCTGTACGCTTACGCAGTGCTTTGCAGGCCAGTGCTTTGCGAGCTGGGCCCAGCTTCTGTGCCTGGCTCAGCAGTGTGCAGCTTGAGCATCATCGTGTGTGTGTGTGTGTGTGTGTGTGTGTGTGTGTGTGTGTGTGTGTGTGTGTGTGTGTGATGTTCCATGCCTGGAGAAGCTGGGCTGCGCGGCACAGTAGGGCTCACGCACAGCTCAGGAGGGTTCCCATCCTGTATCCACTACCTTCCATGACCCCCTCAGAAGCCCCCACCTTTCAGGGATCATCAACCAGGGCCCAGAATGCTCATTTGGCTGAGGAGGGAGGCAGGTCTGACATCTCCCTGCTCATGTGTTAGGAATGGTTTTGGTGTGGCGTCTTCATTTCTTGGGTTCTGGACTTTGGGCATGGAGTATGTTTTCTCTCTTCTAATCCATCCACTCCAGATATTTGGTGTCTGGGTTGTCGTGAAGCTGCTTGTCTCTTTCCTGAAATGCTCCCTGGTCTCTCTTGCTTCCCATGTGGGTCAGTCAAGACTATACTACATTTCACCTGGCAGTGGTGGCGCACGCCTTTAATCCCAGCACTTGGGAGGCAGAGCCAGGCGGATCTCTGTGAGTTCGAGGCCAGCCTGGGCTACCAAGTGAGTTCCAGGACAGCCAGGGCTACACAGAGAAACCCTGTCTCGGGGGGGTGGGGGGAGGAAAAAAAGAAAAGACTACCATATTTGGCTGCAGAAAGCGGAAAGCCCTCCTAACTGAAGAGGCTTATTTTCCTGCCTCGCCTAGAAAGACGTCTGCACATGCGTAGAGCCCCCGCACCCAAGTGTCATTTATGTGCTTCTTACTCATCCTCGGCCATCCTAAGTGGTTGGACTGTTGCTTCATAGTTAAAAGATGGCAGCTGCTCCCAAACACTGTATCCTCCTTGGAACCAGGAGCTGGTGAGATGGCTCAGAGGTTAAAAGGTGCTTACCACACAAGCCCGGTGACCAGAGTTCAATCCCCAGGACCTGTATAAAGAAGAAAACAGACAGGGGCTGGAGAGATGGCTCAGGAGTTAAGAGCACGAACTGCTCTTCCAGAGGACCCAGGTTCAATCCCCAGCACCCACATGGCAGCTCACAACTGTCTGTAGGTCCAAGATCTGACACCCTCACACAGGCAAAATATCAATGTACACAAAATAAGAATAAATAAGTTAAAAAAGAAAGGAAGAAAGAAAGAAAGAAAGAAAGAAAGAAAGAAAGAAAGAGAGAGAAAGAAAACAGATTCCACAAAGCTGTCCTTGAAGCTCCCACGTGTTATCATGGCATGTGCCGACATAGACACATTATGCACATGTTCCATAATAATAAATGAAAGCTGGGTGGTGGTGGCACACACCTTGAATCCCAGCACTTGAGGCAGAGGCAGGTGAATCTCTGAGTTTGAGACCAGCCTGGTCTGTAGAGTGAGTTCTGGGATAGCCAGAGCTACACAGAGAAACCCTGTCGAAAGAAAGAAAAAGAAAGAAAGAAACAAATTTTTAAAAGGAAAAGAAAAGAACCAGTGCAAAACAAAGTAGCCGAAAAGACCCCCAAAGCCAGATGTGTTGCCAGAATTAAGAAAATGAGAACTTTAAGTCCAGCCTGGCAGTTTCCACTTTCATTCATTGGCCAGAACTGGGTCTCTGGCCAGCAAGGCTGGGATGTTGGGCATCTTTTTTTTCAACCTATTGAGTAGAAGAAATGAAGGAAAAAGGACACTGAGAATGGCGTTTAACTAACTGTCCATAACACTGTCCTTCCGTCTCTCTAACCGCCCGAGGAGGTTGGATCGTCCGCTCTGAGCCCTTTCTGCAGCCCGGCACATTGTTCTGGAGTTCTGTTACAGAATGAGAATTTGGCCTCCGCATCTCCCCCAGCATCTGCCTTTGGATAAATCCAGAACATGGCTGTCAAGCTCCTGCCATTGGCTTGGTATGCTGGCTCATCCCTGGAGGATGCAGGTGGCATGGCCCTTAGCCTGGTGAGAACATCCTGGCCAGATTCCCTTTGCCCTCCTGAAAACCAGTGATGCAAGACATTTCCTGCTCATCCTGTTCGGACAGTTCTGCAAGCTGTCTGCCACCCTGAGAAAGGCTTGAAACTCGATGCCAAACCTGGGACCGGCTTCCCAAACACGGCTTTCAGTACTCCATCAGCACTGTCCTGGAAGAAACCCCCCCTCATGCAGTCCGGACCTGTACATGCGTGGGCCCCACATACCTCACTCTCGCCCTCAAGGAGGGAGGCAGCCCAGGCTGCGTTTTGCCAGCAGTTTTATCGGCACCAGAGAGGATCATAGTGAAAATAGCCTTTGTGGACTAAGCTGTGTGGAATTCTGGGAGTCTTTTAGAGCTGGCCACTCCTTAGGTGTGTGTGCCTGTCGCGCCTGGTGGAGAGGCAGAGGGAGGGTTCCAGAGGACTTCTGAGCCAAAGTGTTTCCCTTGAGGAGATGCCGCCCCCAACTCCTAGCCTGTGATCCCTATCTCTTGCCTCCGCTAGAAAGCTGGACTCTGGACAGAACCTCTGGCCTGGTTGTTGCCACATAGGGAACTCTGTGCCTTTTAATTGGGTGTTAGGAGCTTGGGGAGGCAGGGAGTTAAAACTGGTAGAAGTTTTTAAGGTCACCAAGAGATGGCACTCCTGTTCTGTAAATGCAGAAGCAAAGGCTTAGAGGTGACAGAGTGCTTGCCCCAAGCCTCACAGGAAAATCACCGGCTCACTCTCACCCTCAGCTTCCTCACACTGCCGGGGTCCCAGCTGTGGGCACCCTGCATTGCCAGAAAGACCACACAGCTGCCTTCAGGACTTCATCAGTTCTCTTTAGGGGACCCCCCCCACACACACCAATCATGCTATGTCCTTGTAGTACTTACATGTCCCCTCTAGGCTTTCCAGGCAGGTGACTTGCTGCCTCACTTCTGATAACGTACTTCCTGGGGAAATGGGAGAACTGTGGCCCTGCTTCGAGCTGGCTTTTCTTGCATGTGGCTGGCAGGCCCTGTCCCTGCACTGCCCCTGTATAAACAGGAGGGTGACTGTTGGTGGTTTCCAGACGTGACTGCGCCCCTAGTGGAAGAGAGAGCTTCCGACAAGCAGGCTGCTGCCCAGCCCCACATGGAGATCCCAGAAGGAACCACAGGTGAGGGTGACTCCCAGAGCCCCAGGGCCGCCAGAGCCCAGCTGACCTGCCTTGAACAGGTCAGCCTCATAGACAAGTGAAACAGATATGTAAGTGACTCTGACTTCTGGGGATCTTGGCTAGTTAGCAGTGGCTGCCTTGGAGTCTAGCTGCTTCCCACAAGGGTGTAGAGTCCTCGGATTCTGCCTCAGTCAACATGTCAATTAGAAATGTTCTCAGCAAGATTCTCTGGGGAAAGAGAGGATAGACCTCTGCCGTCCTCACAATTTCTCTGGGTCCAGCTGTAGCAAGTAGCAGGTCGCCCTCAGGGAACAGTTTGCCTTTGGAGCACCCAGCATGCCATTGTGACCCCATAGCTGGATCTTTTTGAAGGTCTAATAGGCTGGTCCTGGAGTTCAGGAGTGTGACCACACGTCCATTTCTAGGACTGTGCTGCGTTCCAGCCCTGTCTCTGTATCCTGTTCTACCCATGGGGTGATGGGGGCATTGGTCAGAGGGCACCCTAGCCGAAATCGCGCTGGGCTTGGGGCTGCTCAGTCGTTCATAAGTCAGCCTGTGCAGGGCCCTAGACAAGAGTCATCACATCCCAGAGCCCCGGATAGCCTTCCCCACATGTCCTCTTCCAGGGGCTCACAAAAAACTCTAGTGTGATAAACCTGATGTGTCCAGTTACTTACCAGGAACTGCCTAGTCACTGCTCACGGGACACTGTGGCAGTGGAGATGGGAAATGCCCCTTCCTTTGGATGGGCTCTCTGCAACCGTGCTAGCTAGTTACTCTTTTCCTCGTGGTGATGAATGTCTGACAGAAGCAACTTAAGGTCTGTTCGGGTTCACGGTTTCAGGGGATGGAGTCCATGTGACAGGGAAGGCATGGTGGCGGAGGTGGCGGTGACTGGTCACGTTGCATCTGATGTCAGAAAGCAGAGGGTTGAATGCTGGTGTTCAGCTGGCTTTCTCCTTTTTCCCCAGGACGTCAGCCCAGGGGATGGCGCTGCCCGTATTCAGGGTAGGTCCTCCCTCCTGTGAATACCCTCAAAGACACACAGAGGTGTGTCTCCACACCCAGAGGTGGGTTCCAGCTCCATCAGGTTGACCACAAAGAGTAAACATCATAGCAGTCTGTAGTAAGCTTCCTCTCACACATTCACTGAGAACGCTCATTACGGAGCAAGCAGTGCCATCCCTGTCTTTCAAAATGTGTTTCCGCTTTGCAAAGTGATTGACTGGCAGTAAGATCTTCCAAGACAGGTGGACTAGATGTTCTGAAAGCCTGGCCAGGCCTCAGCTTTGAGCATGAAGGATGCTTGAAGGCCACAGAACACCTTATAGGGTGACGCCATGGCTGACTTGACTTTTGTCTCTTGGCTATCCCTTCAAAGTCTTGTCATTGAAGAAATTTGTCTTCTGTCTGGGATGAAAACTATCCACTTTCTCATCTCTTCTGGCTAATCAGAAATGCTTCATGGTCACAAAACAGCCTGCAAAAGGCTGGGATGCAGCTCAGTGCCTGGTTTAGCATACATGAACCCCAAGAACTTGATCCCCACTGTTATGCCCAGATCATGGGGACCCCCAAAGGACCACCACAGAGACCAAATCCTATATGTGAAAGCAAAGAGCCTTTATTTCAAGCTCTGAGCTTGGTCCCTCTGTCTGTCTGACACAGCGGTGAGAGCAGAGAGCCCAGGCAGGGTAGGGTTTTTATCATAGCAGAGGTTGGGGTGAGGGATTTCCGGGGTTCAGGACCCTGATTGGCTAGGGGTATCTTGGTAAGAAGGGGAAATAGGTATGTGCTAGGTTCAAGAACATCTGGCTATCTTATTTAATGGATGCAATGTTTGGGATGTTAGGTACTTCCCCATCCTTGGGTGGATCCCTGGGTGGTGTCAGCTTATGGCTTTTCCTGGATCTGGGTGTTGCCTGCCAGTAAGCCTGTCACAGAAGCTGTGTCTGGGCTTCTAGGCCTGTCCTGGCAGCTGTGTGGTCAAGCTGTTTCGGGGTTCTCCACACTCACCGTGTTATTAATTAAGTGTGATGAGGGAAAAAAAAAACACCACAGTTTATAAATGCTTATCAGAAGGGCCAGTCTGATGTGATGGTCAGGCCCACAACCTTGTTCTAAACCAGTCCCCACTCTGGGCTGGTGGGGGCAAGAGTGTAGGAGGAGGCAGTGGCTGCTTCCCACTCCCTGCAGGAGCTTAGAGGCTGCCGTCTCTCTCATGGAGACTGTCTTAGCTTCTCGTAAGTGTCCAGACACCTGGTAGAAACAACTCCAGGAGGAAAGCCTTATTTAGCTCATGGGCCCAGAGGGCTCACAGTTGTTCAATTCCATGGCCTTGAGCAGGGCATTCTGGTAGCGTGTGTGGTGGAGGAAGCTCTTCCCCTCTTGGTGGACAGGGAGCAGAGGAGTGTAGCATTGGGCACGCTTTCTCCTTCATCAGCTTTTGTTCGTCACTGCCCCAGCCCCAGTTCATGGGATGGTGCCACCCACGTTCGAAGCAGGTCTTCACTTCAGTGAATCCTATCTGTAAATACCCGCAGATATAGCTGTTGGTTACGCTGCGGCGCTCGTGGCTGGCCGCTGCCCATGGCTGGTCGCCGCCACCCACATCGGTCATGCCGACAGATGTGGCGGTGGCAGAAGAATCACAAGCCATGGTTACCTTTCTAGAGCTTTATTGGTAGAGAGGGAGAGAGAGACAGAGAGAGAGAGAGAGAAACAGAGAGACCGCGCGGAGGGAAGAGGACGGAAGGAGAGAGTGCGGAAAGGAAGAGAGAAAGGGGCGCACAGAGGGGCCGCCCGCTTTTTAGGCTGGGATACCGTCACAGGCTGGTGATGTAATTAAGGACAGAATCCTTACAATAGCCACGTGTGTGCCTCAGCAGTTCCCGAGGTGGTTCCAAATCTAGGCAAGCTGACTGTGAAGGTTAACGACCACAGAGACTTTTCTTGAATCCATCCAGATTCTTCCCTCTCGACCCCTATGTCCTGCTTCCATAAAGACTGACGCCTCTGTCTCGGACTCTGAGGGATATGTCATCCCTCCTCTCAGGGATCTAGCTGCAGCATCACCTCTGTGGAGGATGACTCTTTCTCACTAGTGACCCGTTAGGCGTGATCTAAGATGCCACCTCTGGCTGTGCCCACAGTTCCATGGGAAAACACAAAACAGTCATCCATCTTGGCTGGACCGCCTGCTCGCAGACTATCACAATGCTCCTTTGCTCAGCACTGTAGCAGGGCCGGCCCTCCCCTCTCCGGCTGTGATCCTGGGCAGGGCCCTGACTGCAGTCCACCAGCTCGCAAGCCAGAGGGAGCAGAAGCCAGGTGTCTTTCTCTAGGCGATGCCTTGAAGACCAGGGAGACAAGCCAGGCATGCCGGCACTTGACTGTTATCCTAGCACTTGGGAGGCAAGGTGAGAGGATCAAGAGTTCGAGACCTGCCTGGGGTACATACTGAGCGCAAGGATAAGCTACATAGCAAGACCCCATGGAGCCACCGCAGCCCCGGGGGCGGGCCAGTCGCCTCCTGCTGGGTTTAGAGTTGAGCGGGTTTCCAGCTGTTGGTTGCCCTCACTTGAGCACATGTCTGCTGCTTCTTGGTGCTCAGTGAAGCTGCCCAACGATGCTGTGTGACTTGCTACTGTGGGAGGCCTGTCTCCCTGGAGAGCAGGGGACCTGTACCTCCCTGAAAATGCTCCCCCACCCCACCCCCGGGGAACATTCAAAGTTGTTAGTGGTCCACCAGTTTGGCCTCACACCCGGGGCGGGATGTCACAATCGGGCACTGCAGGGGAAGATGAATAGACTCTCCCAGTGCCAGGACAGTGATGGAGTCCTGGAATGCCTCCTTATGTCTGGTAAGGACTCCATGGCTGCTTAGCTGGATTTGCTGTGGCTCTGAGCCTGTCTTCCGTTCCCGTAATCTTGCTCAGCCCAGATCCACACTTGGACTTTGCCTTCCCAGACAGTTGACACATATGTGATCATTGTTGTGTTATCTGACAAGGGACTGTCACCAAAATACCTCCTGGGTATCACAGAGGACCTAGATGGGTCTGAGCTGATAACTGGTGGGTGGAGAGCTTCCAAGTCCACTGCCGCCTCACTGTGGCTCCACCCTCACTCAACCATCTGGCTAGGTGCTTACCAGGACGCCACGTGACTGTGCGGTGACCCAGGCTCTTTCCTTGTTGTGCCCTCGGTAGTAAGTGAAGTGAAAACCGGCTTGCCGTTTTAGGTGCAAAGGCCGAGCACCTCAGTCCAGAGACAAGGCTGACGGCCCAGCTGGCACTGTGTGAACATTTCTCGAAGGCAGCAACCTCTGGTGTGCCTCAAGGCCTTGAGGTCAGCATGGGCCAGCTTGCTTCATAAACCCTACCGCTAGACTTGTGTGTGTGCTATCCCACAGCTGTGTTCTGATTTCTGTGTTCCCCCATAAGTGTTTACCAACTTGAGTACTGCTCCTGTGGTCTGGAACTTTCTCAGCCTTCTTTATTTGGGGTGACTGTCAGCTCCTTAAGTAGAACACAGAGACCCCCAAAATCTGCCCATAGGCCCCGTTGGCCTTGCTCCAGCCAGGTAATGCTGGTTTCAGGCGGCGTGATGCGTGAGGGGTTTAGAGGGAAGACACTTAGCAGCCTGAGCACCTCCCGCATGTCAGACTCTCTTCTCCATTCCTTCCTATCCTCCTACAAGACAGACCCGAATACTATCCTGAGGTTCCCGATGAGGAAATTGGCTCAGAGAGACCGGGCAAGTGGCGGCTCCTGGGTCCACACCCCAGCTACCTCACCCCAGCAAGCACAATCTCTCCCTGGGCCCCTGTCCTCCCAAAGTGCTGGCCAGGGCAGGCAGTGGTTGTGAGAGTCCTGGCGTCTCTGTGGAGCCAGGCGAGACAGCTGGACCCCGGACCCCTCTGGAGAAGCTCTTTCCTCCTAGGTCGCAGTCACCTGGAAGGTGTGTGGTAGCCGTGGGTTTTGTCTGGGCACATCTCGTCACCACTGTCCCTAGCTGCGGCCTTTGCAGAGTGGAGCACAGCAGCTGACCTTGCAGGGCACATCCCTCCTGCACGTTTCATGTGAGAAGCACAAGGTACAGAGAACACGGGTCACAGCAAGTAGTAACTGTCTGCTTCTGTCCTCTCCCTTTGCTGCCTTGGACCAGCTGAAGAAGCAGGCATTGGAGATACCCCGAACCTGGAGGACCAAGCCGCTGGGCACGTGACTCAAGGTCAGTAGTCCGAATCGCCTCTAGGACTCAGAGATCAGGAGGAGGGAGATGGGAGCACTCAGTGGGCTCTGCCTTGAAAAGACATCTTAGCCCTGGGTCCTAATTTGCAAGTCCAGGAGACCTGGGCTCTGTAGACACAGAGTTTTCTTTTCTTTTTTTTTTTTTTTTTTTTGGTTTTTCGAGACAGGGTTTCTCTGTGTAACTTTGCACCTTTCCTGGAACTCGCTTTGGAGACCAGGCTGGCCTCGAACTCACAGAGATCCACCTGGCTCTGCCTCCCGAGTGCTGGGATTAAAGGCGTGCGCCACCACCGCCTGGCTGACACAGAGTTTTCTAATACCATTCTGATTCGTTCCTGGGGGTGGGGGGTGATGGAGGGTGGGAGAGTCCTGAAGGAAACGGGCCTTGCCTAGCCTTGTGATGAGCACACTGGGTGATGCTCCCACAGTGCCCTGTGACCTGTCAGTCACATCACCATGGAACTTGTCCATTCGAGCTTCCTTCTCCATGGTCTTCACGCCTTATTCTAATTTTCTTCTCAGGAACCAAACTTCTGTGGTCAAGACAAGTACCTTTCTGCAGCTGTTTATCAAAAACACATTTTTTAAAAGAATTTTTAAAACCTTAGAGAGTCTTGATTTTAGGCAATGGAGACCTCTGGTGTAGCTAAAGCATGAGTTAGCTTTGTTTTCAACCATTTTTCTGGATAGAAGAACTTGAGTGTCCTGTATAACAGGGAGGCTCACAGACGACAGAGGAGCTGGGAGGTGGTGTCCTTTCCTCTGTAAAATGATAGAGCCTTTGTCCTCTGGGTAGCAGGGCTGGCTGCCTGTGAAGGCTCTGCCTCACTGACCTCTAGCCTAGTTCACCCCCCTTTAGGTGACTTGGACACTAGGCTCCTGAGGAGGAGGAGTTGGGGGAGACAACTCCTTTTTGTTTGGTCCTGTTTACCTTGTGCCCCTCCCCCACTCCCAGTGAGGCTGTGTCTTGAAAGGTTTGGGTTCTTTGTTTGTTTGTTTGTTTGTTTGAGATGACTTCCCATGTAGCCCAAGCTGGCCTCCATTGGTATCCAAGGATGACCTTGAACTTTTGATCTTCCTACTTCGGCCTCCTGAGTGCCAAGGTTGCAGGTATGTGCCTCCACACCCAGTATATGCAGTGCTCGGGACCAAACGCAGGGCTTCGTGTGTGCCAGGCAAGCATTCTGATAACTGAGCTGCATCCTGGCCCCTGTTTCATGTTTACTGAGAAGTTTATAGTATCCTAGAGACTGAAGAGATCATTCTCCCAGCCCAGATCCTCCTCTAGGAGTTTTGATTATGCTTAGGTTCCTCATCAGTTCACTTGCACAACAAAGAATGCTCACTGCGTGTGTTTACTGTGTGTGTATGTTTGAGGCCTCGCCTCGACTTGAATGGAGTCTTTGAAGGGCCTGTGGTATATCAGACTGCAGGACACCCCAGTCAAAAATAATTTCTAGAGAGCATCTTCTTGAAGGTAGTAGAGGCCCCAGTCTGTGGGGTGGCACTCATGGGTGGTAGCTGCCTTGGCCTCTGGTCCATGAGCCAGCTGGTACTGGGTAGCCGGACCCTGCTGGTTTCCTACTTCAATCCTTGAGCCCGATCAAGGGCCTCAATAAGGCACCTGATAAGGAGCAGAAATGGGTGCTTTGTCTAGACAGTAACTATTCTATATAGAATGCATGATTGATCAGCTGTCATGTGACAACCTTGACACTGGGACCATAAACGAATGTCACTGTGAACTCAATCTGTCAGAAGGAAGGAGAGGGCCGGGCTGGAGTTGGGTCCCTTGGTAGTGAGCCAGCCACACTGATTCCCACTGGGTTACAGACAGAGGTTTAGTGGACATATTACTGGTGTGTGTCCAGAGTTACACATACGTGTGGATACACATGTTCTCCCACTCTCCCTCCCCCCAGACTTCTTTTCTCTGTCCCCAAAGTCTTTGAGAATATGATAGGTTTTGTTAGAGGAGAACTGGGGAGTTGTTTGAGATATTGTGTTGGGACCAGATAGGATGTTCAAAAAATTCCGTTACCTAAGTGTGGTGGCACATGCCTGTAATCTCAACACTTGGAAAGTAAAGATAGGAGAATCAGGGGTTAAAGGTCATCCTTGGCCACATACTGAGTTTGACACCAGCCTCAAGTATAGGAGACTCTGTCCCAAACAGGCAATCTAACAGAACCAGAGGGTGCTCATTGAGGACCTTATTGAGTCAGTAAGACTCAAGTGGACTCCCTCATCCCTAACGCACAGCCAGATACCCTAAAGAGGGTTTTACATGAATATCACATGACTGATCCAGGGAAAAAACAACATGCTTAGACCGGCTGAGCTGGTGGGCAGTGTGCTGGGTGAGCAGTTAGAACAGGGGTCCCAATGCTCCTCCTGGCTCACCTGAGGCAAAAGACAGGCCATGAAGGTTGACCACAGAGCTATACATGTCCTGCCGTTCCACATAGAGGAATCATACTGCCGTCAGTTAGCAAAGCTCCATGCCAACAGTCATAGCTTGTGAATTTTCCAAATCAGAGCAGGGCTAGAGAGGACAGGTAACTTATGATGTCACTGGTTTCACCTGCTCAAAGGGGGAGGAGGGAGAGAGAGAGAGAGAACACAGAGATCACTGTCATAACCCAGACAAGGCCACTGGGAGCCCAGAATCTTCTGGGAGCTTGGGTTCTGTAAGTGGTAGCTGAGCATGCATCTGAGCCCATAATCACATGCTGGGTAACCACAGAGATGCCAGCAGGCTCTGGCCCAGCCGAATACCAGAGGACCTCAGAGGTTACCGAGTCTCAGTCTCCCTTTTATGGACAAGGACACTGATGATGCCCAGAGAGGGTCATGCAGCAAGCTAGTGGCAGACAGACCAAGAGAACATTTATTCCGAGCGATGAGCTGGGCCCAAGATAGGCTCCTGTCTCTGTTGGGAGAGTCCTGATACCTTTGAGGGGTCTTTCCTTATGGCAAGTACTGTGGTCCCCTTTAAACAATATCTGTTCCCTTGTTAACCATTTACCACCACCTGCCTCTTCAAGCAGCAGAGAGAGGTGCCTGAGAGGCTCCCGAGCAGGAAGCTTAGTGTTCAAGTCCAGCCCGGACTGAGCACAGAAGTTTCTGGGGTCTCACTGCCACCTCTAGGTGAAAAACAGTCAGGTACTCCAGGCTTGGCCATCACTCACTGTCCCCAGAAGCACCCCACCTGCCCAGCCCCTCCTCCACCAGCTGGTCCTCAGGAGGCCATCCAGGAGTAGAGACCAGAGCCTGTCAAGGTGGGCCTGCCCATTCTGAAGCCCTCCTCTGCTGGATATCTCCACACAGAGCCAGAGAAGGTCCAGATTTTCCCAGAAAGTTGGCTTGGAGGGCCAGGGCGCCATGAAGGCCAGGCTCCAGACCCAGGGATCTCAGATTGGATCTGCCAACCGGTGTCCACGGTGTCTGGGGCTCCCTTCCTGCCACAAGGCCTCAGAGAGGCTACATGCCAACCTTCGGGGACAAGACCTGAGGATGTAGAGAGAAGCCACCCGGCCTCTGAGCTGCTGCAGCAGGAGCCGCCTCAGAAGGAGGGATGGGGCAAAGACAGGCTGGGGAGTGAGGAGGAGGTGGATGAAGATCTTGACATGGATGAATCATCCCAGGACTCCCCTCCCTCCCAGGCCCCCCTGGCCCCTGGCAGGACAGCCCCTCAGGCTGTCTCCAAGGAAACCACTGGCATGCCTGGGTCTCCAGATGAGGGTGTCATCCCACTTCCTGTTGACCTCCTCTCCAAAGTCTCCACAGAGACCCAGGCCTCGCAGCCCGACGGGCCTGGCGCAGGGCCCATGGAGGAAGGGCCCGAGGCTGCCCCAGAGTTCACATTCCACGTGGAAATCAAAGCCAGCATGCCGAAGGAGCAGGATTTGGAAGGGGCTACGTTGGTGGGGGCCCCTGGAGAGGAGCCCCAGGCCCAGGGCCCCTCTGTGGGAAAGGGCATCAAAGATGCTAGCCTTCTGGAACCATCTGAGAAGCAGCCCGCAGCTGGCCTGCCAGGAAGGCCAGTCAGTCGGGTTCCTCAACTTAAAGGTCTGTGGTTTAAAGCCCTCTCACTCCTCCCCTGGCACCTTCCAGGCTGTGGACACTGTCACTGAGCTTCTGGCCTTCCTGACTCCCGTTCCTTAGATTCCAGGAGAGGCACTAAAGCCACCGCCTGGGCCGCTGCCCCCTCCCCAGCCTCTGCCCTGCAGCCTCTGGTAGCACCTTTCACGCTTGCCCCCACTGTGCATGTCACCAACACCTGGCCCTGTGCTTCCTGCCCTGTTTGGCTCTCTGCCCACTTGACGTATCCACCGTGGCCCACCAGCCCACGGGCGGCTAGTGGACACACTACATAGAGTGGATAACAGTGTCCCTCGTTTTTTGGAGGCATGTGATGCATTTTTACATTCACGATCTAGAACCTTCCCAGCGCTCTGAGTAGGCATCATGAGCCCCACTTTTCAGATGAGGAAACTGAGCTTCAGAGCAGTAAATTGATCTTCTGGTAAGCACCCAGAGTAAATAATGGTTGGAGTCAAGTTCAGAATCCGGTTAGGTCTGCTCTGAAAGGCACCCTCTTGCCATGGTCCCCCACATCGCCTTCCAGGAGACTCAGGAGTGTGTCTTCCTGGTGCAGAGCCGCTGAGTTCGCCTGCCTGTCTTCTGATGCTCTCACCGACAGACAGCATGTCACATTTGACAGGTGACAGCCACCCCTGGGAAGTGGCTAGCAGCCCCCAAACCTCTCCCCGAGTCTGCTTGCAGCAGAATGATGAATAAAGCATATCTTCCAGGTCCAGAGTGACCCTCCTGTCAGTCAGGGACAGGCTGGGTCCCTGTGACAGGCTGGGTCCCTGTGTGCAGCCCCATCTGGAACCCTTTGGAGGCTGCAGGGTGAGAGCAGCCTCTAGGCAGCGATATTCGTGGCTTTAAGGTTTTAGAATACTTGGCGTTTGGGCCTTCGAGACGGCTCAGTGGGTAAAGCTACTCGCCACCAAACCTAATGATCTAAGTTCCATCCCCAAGACCCACACGGTGCAAAGACATGCTGCCACATGGATACAGAGATCCGAGGACAACTGTGGAGTCAGTCCTCTGTTTGTCCTTTGACCTCCATATGCATGTGGTGGCATGTACGTGGTACACACACACACACACACACACACACACACACACACATGTTCATGTGCTCTTGTACGATAAATAAATGTCAGGATAGACGACTTGACATGTTAGAATTATTTGTAGGGCCCAGAACCTCGTAAGCGCAGAGTCAAAAGCATCTATTAGCTATGGATTAAATTCTGCTTATAGAGAACACTCCAATATCACAAGTAGAAGAGCCTGTCAGGATGGTGGCACAGACCTGCCATTCCAGCACATTCCAGCTAAGACAAAAGGGTCACTGCAAGTTTGAGGCCATTCTGGGATACATAGTGAGATACACAGTGAGTTCAAGGCTAGCCTGGGCTACATAGCGTGATCATGTTTTTTGTTTGTTTGTTTGTTTTAAAGTGGCCGTGATGCCCTGTGCCAAGAATGAGCACTGTACTCAGGATGGAGAAAAATGGGGATCAGGAGTTCAAGACCCGACTCCCCTACATAAGACCCTGTCTTAAAACAAAAATTAGGCAGAGTAGGGAAAGCCTCTGTTTTAAACTCCAAGGCAAAGGAGGACAAATGATTGCCTTAAATGTTTTCCAAAGTAACATTCTATCAAATTCTGGTCCTCCAGGTGTCAAGAGGAATGGGCGGGGGCGGTAGGGAGGTATAGTTCTATGACACAGAATTTAGAAGGAAAAAAAAAAAACCAGGCTAAGCAAAGCTCAAGAATGTCCACGTTTGTGGGAGTCCTCAGAGCCCTTACTGTGCTGTGCACAGGGACCCTCGACAGAGGATGGGTCCTCTGGATTTCCCAAGTGTATTTGATACCACGTGCTAACATCTCCCAGAACAGGGCTTGTTGAGTCCTACCTGGACTCAGGAAGTGCTGATCTAGCAGCTTGATTTGCAGTAATGACAGTGATAAGCGGGTTACTCCTGTGAAATAATTCACCAACACAAAAAGTGGGCGAGTGTGTTAGCTACACTGTAGTACAGAGGCAAAGGGCAACTCAGCAGGAACTGTCTACACAGAGCATCCTAAGGAACTGCTTTCACGGGTAGGGCAGGGAATTAGTCAGGAGGTGTTCCGATGTCACTGATGCCAGGAACAGTCTCAGTTGGACCTCTTGCGGTTAGAAACAGTCTGGTCTTGTGGAAATGGTGGTTTTTCCCTGAGTCAGAATTGGATTGGCACGGCAGTTTGTCCTAAACAGATACACATGGTTGACAGAGAAAGGAATGCGTAAGAGCCACTGAACTCCTATTGCAGTGCAGATTCCTGGGTACCTGTTGGCTGCACACCCAGCCTTGGGGCACCCAGGAGTCTGTAGGCCATCTCCGCAGGTGATTCTTCCACAGTAAGATGGGGAGACCCCTGGGCTGGAGAGTCAGTGCTGGTCACTCTGTAAGTCCAGTCTTCGTCCACCTGCAGGGAGCCACAGGTTAACAGTGGTTCCGTGAGCAGGATGTGGCATGTCTGGAGGGCCCTTAGGAGTGGCAGAGTGCCCTCAGGCCTGTGCCAGAGTTGGAAGGACTGCCTTGAAAGCAGCTGAGGTGGAAGGTCCCTGTTAGTGCGTTGCTCTGGGTTATGGGTTGCACTCCATAACAGGGGGAGGATATCCCCACAAGGCTCCTCTGTTCTGGTAGCAGATGACCTGGAGTGGGGGTTGGGATGGTCAGCCTAAGATGGCCAAGAAGGTAGGGCTGAGGACCCTTCCAGCGTGGGGCAGGGAAATAGAGAGGTGGTTTCAATCGGGCCTTGAGACCCCGGAGGATAAGTGGGGCTCTCACAGGAAGGCAAGGCCAAGCTTGGCCACAGAGAGAGAGAGAGAGAGAGAGAGAGAGATCCTCCCCACTGATCCAAGGATCCTGCTGCAGCCTGGAGCCAGGCTGGGCTGTCCCGTTCATGGCCTTGGGGCATTTAAATGGCCCTGCATTCAGTGTGGTTGGCAGATGCAGAGAGTGAGCTCGCCCCAGCCACGTGTGGACCTGCACCTCTAACCGCACCTGCTGCGTTCCCTCTGCATGTGCCCACCCTCAGCCAGCCTGCTGCCCCCTCGTGCTGGATTGCTCTGAGCAGTGGCCCTGTGTGCTGTGTGACACTAACCTTGGGAGACCTAGTAGATCTGAGGACTAAGAAAATCGGCCGGGTTTCAGCCAAAGGGAACTCATAACACCAGCCCTGAACTCTGGTGTGTCTGCGAACCTTACGCTTGGGGCGTCACGTGCATTCTCATTTTGTATTTTGTCAGCTCGAGTGGCCAATGTCAGCAAAGACAGGGCTGGGAACGATGAGAAGAAAGCAAAGGTAAGTTACTGACCGGCCGGTCTCCTTCGCCAAGAGGTTCTGCTTCACGCCTGGGTTTGCCCTCATCCATGATGTGTGCAAAGTGCTTGTCACTAGGGTGCGGCTGTCATTTTTGTTTTATAATTTATTTAATTTTATTTTATGTGCATTGGTGTGAGGGTGTCAGATACCCTAGAACTGGAGTTACAGACAGTTGTGAGCTGCCATGTGGATGCTGGGAAATGAACCCAGGACCTCTGGAAGAGCAGGCAGTGCTCTTAACCTCTGAGCCATCCCTCCAGCCCGCAGCTGTCATTTAAAGGCTTGTTTCCTTTTTTTTTTTTTTTTTTACAAAGGCAGTGTTTCCATCTTGGTATTTAACAAAGGGAAGGGTGATCCTCAAGTTATTCAGTCCCTCCCCCACGCCCACCTCTTGTCCTTTCCTCATAGTTTAAATGAAGGTGTGTGTGAATTTTCTGGGTAAAGTTTGGGGTTTGTGTTCCTTACCCTTACCACCACAGATCTAGGCTCAGTAAATATACAGTGTTTCATATCCACGGAGTCCACTGGGGTTCAGAGAGCTATGAGCAAGGGAAGAAGTGATCTCCAGACAAAGGCAGGGAGGATTCTGGGTCAGCCCTTGAGGAGAAGAGCTGGGAGGCAAACAGGGGAGCTACAATGCAAGTCGCTGCCTCAGAGCAGGGAGCAGCAGAGGAAGAAGGAACAGACAGCTGAGTCTGGGGAGAGCAGGCAGGCGGCCATGTGGGGCTGGCTGCCTTGGGTCTGGAATTAGTACAGCCTCCTTCAGGCGAAGTGTGGAGGAGTGTGGGCTGAAAGGAAGGCCTCTGTCAGTCTTCTGCAGCCACGCCCGGTAGATAAAGCAGCTGCGTGCCACAGACCAGCGTCCCAAGCCCCACCTGTCCCCCGCTTCTCATCTGTAGTCCCCTCCCTCCGTGACTTGTTATCTTAGAACCCCCTAAAGCTGTGCAGTCAGGTCTCCCTGGAAAAATCCCAGCACGACCCAGATTGGATCAACCGGGCACCTAGTGTGAATGCTGCGTGGCGCATTGAGCCTGTAATCAGTGCCAGAGCCCCAGGGGGTCTCCAGATGTGAGTGATGGTACTAGAGCCTGGTAGCAGGGGTAGAGGACCACTCCCAGAAGGCCCTGTTCTGTACGCATTAGGACTTCTCGTCATGGGTGCTCAGAGAGAGAGGCAGCTGGGCCTTGTGCAGAAACTTAGCCCTGCCCCACTGCTTGAAGCAGGAGCCATAGCTGCTTGTCAATCAAGATGGTCATTCCCTTCTGGGGGAGGGGCAGGGAGTTCCGACCTCATGCTTGTACAAGTGTGCACGTACTTATTATCATTTATGTATTCATTTAGTGCACAGTCCCTGCCCTGGATTGGCTCACAGGACAGCATGGAGCCAAATCTGTTACAGATCTAGACTGGGTAGAGAATGCTGCCTATGGAGAGGGGTCTTGTCCAGCTAGGGAGCAAGGGGCTCGGGTACCCACTCTAGCTTTTCCTCTATGGAAGCAGCTGTCCCTTAGCCTGTCCTGATGCTGGCGGCACAGACTGAGATCCAGCCCCTTCAGTGGAGATAAGGAAATAGACTGAACAGCACAGCGCAGTCTCTGGTCAGGACTCCAGACCACCCCACACTTGGCCTCTCAATTCTTTATTCCCAAAGGGTCTGGTTTCACACCCTGCATCATACCAGGCCCACCCTTCCAGTCAGAGTCCCCAGAGGCAAGCCTTGAGTGTCAGCCTACAGCCCTTAGGTACCCTGGTTCAGGGAGTCCTTCTCGAAGAACATCCAGCCACACTTATTCCCTTAGGTGGAGTATGTTCTGGTGTTAACTTTGGCCAGTTCAAGACTCCATAGCATTAAGATTAGTGTTATTCGAGTCTTTGTTTAATCAGAAAGTATGTGTGTATGTGTGTGAGTGCATATGCATGTGTATGTGTATGTGCGAGTACAGGCACACATGTGCATGTGCATATGTGTCCTTGTGGCATGTGTGTGTCCTCAGTGACATCTGAAGGAAGCTTTGGGTTGACTCTGGCACAATCCTCCTTGAAGGACTCTGTTGGCATGGTGGAAAGAGAAGGTGGGTGCCAGTGAGCCCGGACAGATACTTCCCCTGAGGTCGAGCAAAACATGGAAAGCCTCTGGCCCGTGACACAGTGGCATTCTTTCTTGAGAAAACCTTGCTGCCTTTTCTCTGAGGGTCTCCAAGTGGAAGCACCTCTGAGCCAGTGTTCTCCAGTGCTAGAGAAAGAATGTGCCAGAACGTCTCTCCATGTCCAGCATCTCTTTAGAAGCTCTATTTTAATCATGTCCATCCCATGTCAGCTGTGTAGCGCGCGTAGCGGATAGGAGACCCAGTGCTGAGGGGACAGGACCGCTGTCCTTGCTGGAAGGGCGGTGGAGAGGGCTGCTTTGACCTGCGACCCGCCTTCTTTGTGTTCAGGGGTTTTTTTTTGTTGTTGTTCCTTTTCAGTGTGCCTCCCTCCCAATGCTGACTTTTATTTCGATTTTATTTATTTTATGTTTAAGACATCCACACCTTCCTGTGCTAAACCCCTGAGCCGTAGGCCCTGCCTTACCCCCACACGCCCCAGTTCTGGTAGCTCAGACCCTTTGATCAAACCCTCCAGCCCTGCCGTGTGCCCTGAGCCAGCCACCTCTCCTAAACACGTCTCTTCTGTCACACCCCGAAATGGCAATCCTGGAACACAGCAGATGAAAGTCAAGGTAAGGAACGGACCTTCGGCGAGGCGCAGGCTGCTGTTCCGTGGTGTTCGAGGGCTTTCCTCACCTAAACTCACAGGCAGCACTAGATGGCTGAAGAAGGGACAGGGAGGGGACTGAAGACTAGGACCTGTACTCTGCCTCCCTCTCCCCCTGAAACAGCAGTCCCCAAGGTAACCAGGGGACTCCAGTTTGAAAACTGAGGCTCTAAGCTAAGCACAGTACCTGATGCCTGTAACCATCCCCAGCGCCGAGGAACATTCCTGTAAATCTGAGGCTAGCTTGAGCTATAGAGTGAGTTCCAGGCTAGCCTGGGCTACAGAGTGAGTTTCCATTTTGAAAACAAAAAACAAAAAAAGAAGCCAGGTGTGGTGATGCTTATAATTTCAGCACCCAGAGGCAGGGGTAAGAGGCAGGGGTATCAACCAGTAATACTTAGAAAGACTCTCTTAAAAAATAAACAAAAACAGCCAGTTGGTGGTGGCACACACCTTTAACCCTAGCACTCGGGAAACAAAGGCAGAAGGATCTCTGTGAGTTCGAGGCCAGCCTGGTCTACAGAGCGAGATCTAGGACAGGACAGGCACCAAAACTACACAGAGAAACCCTGTCTCAAAAAAAAAAAAAAAAAAAAAAAAAAAAAAAGAGGCCAGCCTGGTCTACAGAGCGAGATCCAGGAAAGGCGCAAAGCTACACAGAGAAACCTTATCTCGAAAAACCAAAAAAAAAAATACTAAGAAAAAAAAAGAAAGAAAGAAAAGAAAAACAGAAGTTAATTAATTAGTTAATTAAAAAATAAAAATAAAGCCGGGAGGTGGTGGCGCACGCCTTTAATCCCAGCACTCGGGAGGCAGAGGCAGGAGGATCTCTGTGAGTTCGAGGCCAGCCTGGTCTACAAAGTGAGTTCCAGGAAAGGCGCAAAACTACAGAGAAACCCTGTCTCAAAAAAACAAAAAAAATAAATAAATAAAAATAAATGGTGAAGAAAGCCTCAGTTCCCTCTACAGTTCCTATGGTAACTGGCCACGCCTCCAGCTGCACCCATCCCCACAGCTCCTTCTCTCTTCCCTTCCTCCGGAGTCTGTGGTTTATGTGGTATCTTTGTGAGGTTCTAAGGGTCGTCTACTGACCACCAGACCTGTCACCACTCACAATCAGCTGATTGTGTCTGTTCCGCCCCTGGCTCCCCGCTTTCAGCCAGTGTTCATGGCCAAGGGTTCTTAGCACACCTAAAGAGTCACCGAGACCCTTGGGCCATGGAGAGAGAAGAAAAAGACATGGCTTGGCTGCTGAGTGTTCTGCTGAAGGCTGAAGCATAAGTCTCTTCCAGGGCCTCTGGTGAACCCAGCCTCCATCAGCTACATCCATAGTTAAGAGTCTGGGGAGGGGTGACCACAAGGCATGGTCTTCCTGGGCCAGCCTGTTGATCTACCTGACCCTGCTCTTGCTCCAAGCACTGCTGTCATTTTATAGCACAGGCTAGCTCACAATTCATCTAAGAGGAAATAGGAACCTGATACTTGACTTGCCAGTGAACTGTGGGGTTCTGTGCCCCACAAACCCTCGAGGAGACTGTACAAGACCCTTCTAGCATCCCTCTCCACCTTCGCCATCTCCCAGTCAAGATGGGAGGATGGGTCTACCTCTCCTTGGTAATAGTCATCTTTCCCAGTGGTAAAAACCTTTTACCTTGATTCGGTTTACAGGGGGCCGACGGTAAAACTGGAACCAAGATTGCCACACCTCGGGGAGCAGCCCCTCCGGGCCAGAAAGGTACATCCAACGCCACCAGGATCCCAGCCAAGACCACGCCCAGCCCAAAGACTCCTCCTGGCTCAGGTGAGAATGCTCCCTGGAGTCTTAATCCAGAAGCTTCCAGAAGGTGTAACAATTAATAACCCCTGGCACCAACTAATGCCTTGCAGTTTGCTGAGCACTGGAGATTTTGTTTTCTTTTTCATCCTTTGACAATTGTCTGAGGTAGATGATGAACCCTTGCTTTTTAATCAATGAAGAAACCTTGTTCATTTTAAAAGCATGAGGAAAATGTAATCACGTGACTGATGAATAAGTGGTAGAGAAGGAGCATGCCCCCTAATCCATGGCTCTGGGGAGGCAGCCCCCGAATGAGGGTCCCCTGCCTCTTTGGAGAACAGTTAGCCTGGACAGGACATCATGGAGGATCTCTGGCAAATCAGCCTCATGCAGCTGGAATGTTAGGAATCTTCTAGCAAAACTCAAGGGTTTTAACTGAGCAGTGGCATGCTGTGGTCATTACTCCGGCTTCCTGTAAATAAAACCCAGTTGGCATGGAGAACCTGGCCAGGCTTCAGTGGGGTTGTTTCATGTCCAGCAGAGATACCAGGAACAGAAACCTAAAGACCTGCTCCCAGAAGGGACTTAGATGCCACGTGACTGTTGTCTAGCCTGCATTTGCTCCCTCGTGGTGCCCAGGAGACCTGTGGGGCTCTGTGTCTGGCCTGCCTCTTGGTGTCCCTGCTCTCCCGGCCAGGGGCAGTTGCTCTTGTCCGCTGCATGCTTCTGCCTGGATTGCAAAGGGTACTGCCTGCCTGACGGTCGGGCTTTTTCTTCGCTAAGTCACAGTGTGTCTGGTGTGTTTCCTGTGCGCTGATTGATGTAGAGGCATTAATGGCGTGTTAAGTGGATTTGCATCCTGGCATTTCTCCCTGGCATTCAGCACTGTGCTGCCCCCTCCCTCCGCTCACACAGTAGCCTGGAGCAAGTGCTCGCCTTGCTCTCCCGACCTCACCTGACCTTAGGTGGCTCCATGTCGATGGCTCCGTCTTCCTCACTGGTCCCCGCACCTGTTCCCGCTTCCGTCTCTCGTGCTAGGTGGACCAGCCAGACGCTGCCACCTGAAGTACTCGCAGAGACCCCTGTGAGCCTGATTATAATGAGGCTGTCTGGATTTTTCTTTTTAAGCTTCCAAGCAAGTGCAGAGAAAACTACCCCCTGCACGGGCAAAACCTGAGAGAGGTAATTCTGGGTCCACTGCCCTGGGTGGGCAGACTCTCTTGGTGTGTGTTTTGCCCCTGTGTTTGTCTGCAAGGCTGGGAGGGCCTGCTGCTTCTAGCCCAGGCTACCCCGGAGAGGTGCAGACTCGAAACACCATGTATGCTTTGCTTCTCAAGTGTGGTTTGTACTAGGGGCATCTGTGGACTCACATCCTGTGTGTTTGCATTTCCTTCAGCAACTAGGGCTGTTTGTGGGATGGGGACCATGTGCCTGGAGACATGTGAGAGTGTTGGAGGTTTGGACTGCCTCTCACCTAAGTTCCAATAGGACAGTGTCACTGGTAGGCAGAGGGTTTTGCTGGGCTGAGTTTTTTGTTTCATTTAAGAAATGGCATTTCGGGACTGGGAGATGGATCCGTGCTTAAGAGCACTGGCTGCTCTTCCAGAGGACCCAGGTTCGATTCCCAGCACCCACATGGCAGCTCACAACTGTCTGTCACTCCAGTTCCAAGGAATCCAGCATCCTCACACAGGCAAACCAATGTACATGAACTAAAAATAAATAAATCACTTAAAGAAATGGCATTTCACTCTGAGATGTTACAGACAGATGTAAGCTACCATGTGGGTGCCAGGAATAGAACCTGAGTCCTTTGGAAGAGTAAGGGTTCCTAAGACGTGGAACTGGAGACTGAACATTGATATTTAGGCAGAGATTGGCAGGAAGCATGTTTGCTATGATGCTTCTCGCTGTGGGTTGGGAAGCTTAAGAAAGGCCAGTTTTGCAGGCCTCTATCAGATCTGGATGGGGGCCCAAATATTTGCATATCACAAGTCCCACCTCCTGCTAAGAACATTAGAGGTTTTCAAACACAGAACAAAAGCCCAGGGGTGTGGTGGCTCGGTGAACTCTAGGTGTGTCCCAGGCATGCTGAGTACTATCATAGAAGCATGTGGGGATAAAGGACGCAGGGAGGGGGCTGGACAGAACCTGCTGGGAAGTCCAGGCAGGCTTCCTGGCAATTGATGGTATTAGGAAAGGAGTGTGGGGAAGGGCATTGTACGGGCTGGAACAGCAAGGTAGGGTTCAGCAGTGTGGGGTGTGGCTTGTATGCAAAGCTCTGGGCAGGTGGTTCATACACTGTTCTGCAGCCCTGTAGTTAGGGGAGCCCTGGATGTGCCCCATGGGGGAAGGGTCAGGAGGATCCCAGCTTGAAAGCTGCTGTGGGGTCCTGTCATTGCGTCGCCTCAGTTAAGGTAAAGGACGGGCAGAAGTGAGTTTGTGGAGCAGTACCCCATCCCTTCCTTTCCCAAGGTGAGGCCTCAGCTCAGTGAGAGGGGGTGACACACAGCTAGCTAGAACCCATCTTCTTGCTTCAGGACACTTCAGGGCTTGGGGAGAGTTGGGCTGTTCCCAGGAGGAGGTGCCATGTGCTGGAGCACGGATGAGAATGCGGTTGCTGTACTGGGAGATAGTTGTCAAAGCATCTAAGTGACAGGGCAAGAGGAGCTGCTTCCCCAGAGATGGTCCTCTCCCAGATCCCCCTCTCCAGGGGTTTTAGGGACTTTGCAGACCCCCATCCACCTGGCCTCAGTCCCGTCCTCTCTTCCCACCCTCCAGGTGAACCACCAAAATCTGGAGAACGCAGCGGCTACAGCAGCCCTGGCTCCCCTGGGACCCCTGGCAGTCGCTCCCGTACCCCATCCCTACCAACGCCGCCTACCCGGGAGCCCAAGAAGGTGGCAGTGGTCCGCACTCCCCCCAAGTCGCCATCTGCCAGTAAGAGCCGCCTGCAGACGGCCCCTGTGCCTATGCCAGACCTGAAGAACGTCAGGTCCAAGATTGGCTCCACTGAGAACCTGAAGCATCAGCCAGGAGGCGGGAAGGTAAGGGGCATGGCCAGCCATGCGGGTCGGGGTGCAGCCTGCAAAGGAGTGCAGGTGGGCCTCTAGCCAGACTTGCCTCTGTCGCCCAGAGCACACAAGCCATCAGAGCACTGGCCCCTCCCTCCCTTTAGCATTGCTAATTGGACAGTGGATTTCACTGGTACTGCCCAGGTTGGGCTTGGCTTTCCCCCTTGGTTCTGGGGAAATTCAAGGTTTTAACAGAAGCAGCTGGTTCTATGGCTGTCGTGAACTTTCTATCTAGGCCCTGAGGCTCCCCCTTCCTTGCATTCTGAGCATTGTCCAGGCTGACTGACATGTCCTCAGGGTTCTAGAATCTGTAACTGAGAGATTATGTGGGTGTCAGCAGGCCTGACTCTCCGAGTTTCTCCCAAGTCCTCCTGTGCACCCCGATGACTCACTTTGAGTCCTTGTCTCATTTAATGAAGACATTAGCCCTGTGGGATTAGGGTCACCCTCCAACCTCATTTCAACAGTCATTGCTCTAAAGTCGTATCTCCAAACACAGTTACATTGTGAAGTTGGGATGTCAACATGTAAATGAGGGAACACACAGTATGTCCCCTCCCTATGCTGGGCTGGAGTAAGGGGAGGCCAGTGAGGGGCCTAGATGGAGCTGTGATCCCTTGCTGAGTCCACAGTCCTTGTCTTCTGGACTGCGTACTTGTGGGGCACCTGAGGTGCCGAGAGAGCCCCACAGACTTTCAGGCCAATGCTTACCCCCCATTCCGCAGAGTGGACACTCCCCACGGCTGAATTTGCTTTGGGCTAGTCACTGGAGGGACGTTGGCTATAGCCTGGGTGGGCACCTTCCCTGAAGCCCCGTGTTTTGTTATGAGGAAGTCCTGGGGCCCTCCTGTTGGCTCTACATAGTGGGGTTTGTGCAGCATTTGGGTCAGAGTACACAACTCACATCTTCAAGCCTGAGGCTGACTTTAGGTTCAGGGCTACATCTCACTAACATCACTGGCTTGGACCATTGGCTTGGTCCTAGCTTGTGACCCCTCAGTCACCTGTGCTGTCCTACCTCCAAAGATACTTACCTGCCTCCTTCGGAAGGGGCCCTAGAGTCAGGCACTGCATTCGAGAGGATCACGAGTTTGAGGCCAACTTGAGCCATGTGATGAAAAAAAAAATAGAAAGGTGCATGGAACAAACCCTTAATCCCAGCACTCAGGAGTGCCTGAGACCTGATTCGGCGGGGGTTCGGGTCCCAAAGAGGATGTGTGGAGTTGTCGGGAGAAGAGGAAGAGACAGACTCGATCTGAGGGTGAATCGGGATGGCTGCCAGCAGCATTTAATTGAAAAAAAAGACTACACCTTTTATACTCTATAGTTGCACGTAGGATTAAACAGGAGACAAGGTGCATGTGAGCTGGGGTGTGGCCTGAGATCAGGGGTTGAGGAATCTAACATTGACCTTGACAGTAGGCACCGGTCATATGGTTAATGGAAAGGCCACAAGTTCCTCTTGCTAGAGATAAGAATGTCTGCTTTATCAAGCAGGAACTTTCCTCAAGCTCCTAAGAGAATAGAGACCCTTATTATCCAAATGCTAGACCTTGGAAAAGGACTTCTACGGAGCAGATGCTAACTACAATTTCTTACTGTGTGAGCCTGTTCCCCTCAAATGCTTCTAAAAGTAAAGGTCTTGATGTCTTACTCTTCCCATTATACTGGACCATTCTGATTTCTCTGTATTTATTAACTGAACTCTTACCTTTAATGGCTTCAGGGTTGGGATCTGAATTGTAGGCATTTCATCCTTGGGGTGTGTCTAGTAAATTTCTAACTTTCCTGTTCTTGGTGTAATTAGGAGGGTATATTGGAATTCCTGGTTCCATGGTGGTGGGGATTTTTTTTCCAAAGAATTATTTTGTTTAGAGAAGCTACCATTGTACACATTTTCATCCTTTACCAAAGCCCACCAAAAATTTCCTGAAGGGAAAGGCATTAGTAGTAAGAATCATTGAAAATAAAAGTAAAGCCGGGCGGTGGTGGCACATGCCTTTAATCCCAGCACTTGGGAAGCAGAGGCAGGCGGATCTCTGTGAGTTTGAGACCAGTCTGGTCCACAAAGCTAGTTCCAGGAAAGGCACAAAGCTACACAGAGAAACCCTGTCTCGAAAAACCAAAAAAAAAAAAAAAAAAAAAAAAAAAAGAAAAAGAAAAGAAAAGTAAAAAGGTGCTGGAGAAGTATGGTCTGCAATTTCGAAATGATGGAACTTTGTCAAGCAGCAGTGGTCCACGCCACAGGAGACAGAGTCAGGTAGATCCGTGATATGTGAGTTCCAGGCCAGCCTGGTCTATACAGTGATCTCCAGGCTAGCCAGGGGAATGTGTGAGACCCTGCCTCAAAGAAGGATAGGAGGAGAAGGAGGAGAAAATCCACAAAGCCACATGCTCACCTCGGAGGAAAATGAGCGAGGAGGTCACAATGGCCCTGGAACTCCTCTGGCAGCCACCATCTGCCCACATCCCACCCCCACTGACAGGATGAAACCGTGGACGGGGAGCTGCACCCTCCCCGCCTCCCCGGGAAGAGGACCAGCGGGCAGAAGAGGATGTGTGTTCAGAACGCCTCGGCCAGCAGCCTTCGAGTACCACTCCCACCCCGGAACCAGGCTGAGCAAAGACCCCTCTTCAGGAGGAAAAGATGATATCTACTTGTTTATCGCTCACTTATCGCATTGCTGGGGATGCTGCAGGGAGGTGAAAAAGTGTCTCTCCGCAGCAGTGGCTCTGGGTCCGTTAAAGATCCCAAGTGTCCCCATTGTGACTTACATGTGCTTTATAGACGGGAGGTTCACGGGGCCCCATGGCTTGGTCAGGGCCTCGGTAGAGTAACTCCGAAGCCACAGGGAGGCTCTGGCCAGCACCACAGCTCCCATCTGTCATTTGGCTTCACGGTCTCCGGACCTCATCCGCTTCTCAGAACTGACTGTCGGGATCTGCGAGATGGTTCCGAGCGTGAAAGTACGTGCCATCGAGCCTGAGGATGGAGTTTGGTCTCCAGAACCCACGTGGGCCGAGAGAGAACTGACTCCTGGAGGTTGTCCTCTGACAATATGCACACACATACACATACAGGCACACACACGCACACGCACAGTAGATTAAAAATGTCAAAACAAGCCGGGCGGTGGTGGCGCACGCCTTTAATCCCAGCACTCGGGAGGCAGAGCCAGGCGGATCTCTGTGAGTTCGAGGCCAGCCTGGGCTACCAAGTGAGTTCCAGGAAAGGCGCAAAACTACACAGAGAAACCCTGTCTCGAAAAACCAAAAAAAAAAAAAAAATGTCAAAACAAAAACAAGTGACCTCCTGGAAGCTGCATCTCGGGAGTCCTGTGACTGTCACTGTCCGGGTGTCAGGACTTAGGGCTGCCCAGAATCTGGGAGGCACCCTGACTTGTTCTCTAGCATCCTTCCCAGCCACAGCACCAGGACTAGGAGGCAGACCTACATACAGTACCTGCAGTTCAGAGATCCTGAGGCAGACACAGCCTCCTCTCTTTCCACCACTCCAGATACCACTCTAGTCTCAGCCTCTGCCAGGCCCCTGCCCATTCTCCCCCTTTCCTGTTTGTGCGCCCTCCTTCCTTGCTGAATCATCCTGTTCCCACTGGTTCTGCTCCTGGATGGCGGCTCCTCCAGCACTGTGTCCAGTGAGCTCAGGGATTCTGCCAACCCCAAGCTGGGCTTCTCAGTCTCACCTCTGCTGCCTAGCCCTCCGGAACTTCCAGTTCTTGCGTTGTCCTGAACTGCGCGCAGGACTGCCGTCAGCCTAGAATGCCTTTCCCTCATCTCTCTCTTCCTCCTGGGAAGTTCCCCCTGGACTCCCCCGTCTAAGTAGCCTTGGGCACCCTAGTATGTGGTAACTGACGGGAACTCTGCATCCCATGAGGCCTTGAGGGTGGTGAGCCCTCATGGATCAGGGCTGCTGGATCTCGTCTTGGACTCAGCAGAACCTGCAGTGTTGGTGGAGGGTGTCTGCCCGGGCAGCCCCTGCCCTTGTGGGGTGGCTTGTCCGGTTGGGCAGTTCTTTCAAATGAATACCAGGAACTGGCCTAAACGGGGAGGGCAGCATTCTGCAATGTTCCATAGAAGATGAGGGCTTGGCTTGTGGCTTGCCCCATCTGAGGAGTTGTGCTGGGCTGTGATGACTTGCCCATGTCCGCAGAGGGCCAGAAGAAACAACAATGTGACTTGTCCTGGGACTTCAGGGGTGACAGCGTGGGAAGTGACAGAGCCAAGGGACAGCCTCCGTCACATTCTGTGAGAGCAGAAGGATTGTCTGAACAAGCCCTCAGTCCTGTAAGCCAAGAGCAACACAATGACAAGCCATTCATTCGGGGTTGATGGACAAGGCCTGTAAGACCCGCTGACGAAAGAGTCTGAGAGCTGAGCTGAGCCCTTGGGTCCCTGAAAGGTTTGCTTAATGAGACCCTATCGCAAAGTAATGATTGGCCTTGAAAGGGCAAGATTCTAGGAGTCTGAAGAACAGGGATGGAGATGTGGCTCCATTAGCCAAGCGCTTGCCTAGCGCGCACGAGGCCCTGGGTTCAGTCCACGGCACCAGATGAACACATCGTGGTAGAGCTCGGTCAATCTCAGAACTCCAGAGGAAGCAGGAGGATGGGAAATTCAAGGTCGAGCTCCAGTGCATGAAGATTCAAGGGTAGCCTGGGTTATATGAGACCCTGTCTTTATTTTAATAATAATAATAATAATAATAATAATAATAATAATAATAATAATGTGATTGAAAAAAAAAGTGCCTGGGGCCTGGTGAGATGGCTCGTGACTTAAAGGTGCTGGCTGCCAGGTCTGACGACCTGAGTTCAATTCCCAGGGCCCATGTTGTTACAAAGTGTCTCACTCTTGCAAGTTGTTTTCTGACCTCCAGGCACCCACCTCCCACACCATCAATGAACTGGGGCTGGAGCCGGGCGTCGTGGCGCATGCCTTTAATCCCAGCACTC